CCGAGGCTGTAAATCTTTATGGGAGCAGAAAGCCTCATCTTTCTCCCGCGGAACATCTGGTAGTTTCGAACTGCTGACCTTGTGGTTCGCAGCCCGATTCGTGACCACTACACTACCAGAGCTCCTTCATAGTGACCCTGAATACGGTTTCTGGGGAGCGGCTGGTGGGTTTCAACTGCTGACCTGTGATTAGCAGTCCAATGCTTTTCTCATATACTGCATTGTTGTTGTTAAGTACTGTTGAGTCGGTTCTGACTCATAGAAACCCTATATAGGGTTTCCAAGGAGCAGCTGGTGATCTTGAACTGGTGACCTTGAGGTTCAAACTAACCTTGCAGTCCAGTGCAGTAACCCAGAGCGCCACACCAGGACTCATTATACTGCATAAGGCCTTGTATATAATAGCTGTTATTGTTAAGTGCCATCGAGGTGGTTCCAACTCAGAGCAACCCTGCCTAGAGTTTCCATGGAGCAGCTGGTGGGTTTGAACTGCTGACCTTGTGGTTCACAGTCCAGTGCTGATACTGTAGCACCAAACCAGCAGCTTATAAAGTGTCTGAACTTTATTTTCAAGACATAAATACTCTGACCCTCTTTCATGAATATACATTTTAAAATTTCATCTATCTTTATTTTTTCTGAGAAGTAAATTTTCTAAAATCATATTATATAAGTTTTAAGAAACAAATATATGAGGCACAAAACCATGAAAAAACTATTCATGCAGAATGGCGGAGTCACTATAAATTTAAAATCAACTTGATGACACAGAACAATAACAATAACATAGAGAAACTAGACCTAAGAGATAATGTTGATTACTCTACCCAACAACAGTGGAATACCCATTTTTCTTCAGTACACATAGATCATTCTCTTGAATATACCATATATTAGGTCACAAAACAAGTCTCAATAGTTTAAAAATGACTGAAATCCTACAAAGTATCTTCTCTAATAACCACAATGGAATGAAATCAGCAATCAATAAGAGAAGAAAAATTAGAAAGTTCACAATTACCAAAAGGTAGAAGGAACCTAAGTGTTCAGTAACAGATGAATTGGATACATCAAATGTTGTATATACACATACTAGACTCATATATTTCACAAAGATAAATGAAGTTCTGATACACACTGTGACATGACATGGTTGAGCCTAGAAGACATTATGCTAAGTGCAGTAAGTCAGACACAAGAAAAAATATATTGTATGATTCCACTTATATGTAACATCTAGTATAGGCCAAAATATAGAGAACAGTTTATTAGTGGTTACCAGGGTCTAAGGGGAAGGTAGAGTGAGGAGGGGCTATTGCTTACTGGGTACTGAGTTTCCATTTGGGGTGATAAAAAAATTTTGAAATAGTGATTATATTTATGAATTGTACACTTAAAAATGGTTAAAATAGAAATTTATGTTCTATTTTACCATGATAAAAATTTTAAACATAGTATTTTTAAATTCTGGAAACTGAAAATGATTATTATTAGGATACGGACTAAAAACCCTTTTTAAACCCAGGACATTATCAAAATCAGAGTTCTAAAACCAATTTTACTTTGGTTTATAAAACACATAAAATAAACATACAACAAAGAGCCTAAAAACCATTTCTAAAGCAAGTTCTCAAAATAGTCTGGTTGGTCTATGATCAAATTTCATTCATGTATACTACATAATGGCACTGCAGTATATTTTTATAAATGTATGTATCTATATGATGTTACTTTCTCCTATTTTTATTTTTATTCAATTTTCTACTTTTACTAAAATCGTAATCGCATATAATAGGTTTGTAAACATTTTATTATATGGAAAATAAAAATTTGGCAGAACTCTATTTAATACTTCCTCTGCTCCTATTTTCACTCCCTACGCCCTCTGTTAAATTAAAAAAAAAAAAAAATTAATAATGTATTAAAATTTAACTGAAAGTGGGAAAATCTGTATACTACCAGCCAAAATAATTGAAAAACTATTTGCCTGTACTAAAAGTTCAACAAGGAATAGTGAGGAGAGACTTTATTGATAAGAGAATTAGACCCACCCCAGCTCTGTCAGTACTAGCTATATATAACAATACTTAAACATTCTTACTCTTCTAAGCCTCCATCTCCTCACTTGTAAAGGTGAATTATAGTTGTACCCATTCATAAAAGTATGAAAATGAAATGAAGTGACACATGTAATATGCATGGACATATAATAGCTACTTATGTGTTTAATTACTGAAGTGCCATGTAATAGCATCTGGTGGTGAGGCAGGGGAAGGAGTAGCCATCAGGGTGAAGGTACAGGAATAGTGGAAGTATACCATCCTGGTATAAAGAGGAATTTTATTCATGGACATTATCCAGAACTGCTGGCACAGGGTGATGATAAAAAGCATTTTGGTTAGTGTTGTTATTGTTTTTAAATTCTCTGTAGACTATGCACGTCTTTATTGCTTTTCACAAATGGCACCACAGCAGAAGACCAGCTCTCACATTTCACTCATTCACTGTTAACTGAGTGCCTACTGAGTGTATGGCACAGTGTGCGGCAAAGACTGAGATGGTATCATGAAGAGTATGGTTGCCATGTATTCTTAACTAAACCAAGGATAGTTATTTAGAAAATCAAAATAGTCACTCACCTTTCTTGAATTTATGTATAGGAAGTTTCTTAAGCTGATCTTTACGAAGTCTATTTCTTCTTGCTCTATGTCGGTCCTGGAAAAATTTTGTAATCTAAAAGTAAAACAGAAAGAAAGGAGTCATATATTAAATATGAAAATAGAAAACGGTCGTTAAAATAACAAACACCTTAAGTATCTAGTTGAAGATGTAAACCAATTCAAGTCACTTAAATCCTAATTGTAGCACTGGTACATTAGTGACTGTTGTTGTGAAATGCCATAGAGTTGATTATGACTCACAATGACCCTGTACAGGGTTTCTGAGGAGCAGCTGATGGGCTTAAACAGTCAACCTCATGGTTCACAATCCAGCGATGATCCTACAGCACCATATCGGTAATCCACATTAGTGATTAGTTATCCCATAGATTATCCTTTGAATTGTTATTCATTGACCTCAAATCTTTAACTTCTCTGACGAGGCATTATAAATAACGTAACTGTTTTCTTACAAAATGCAATACCAAGACTAATGGATCTAGATGAATGGCAAGGTTGAGATTTCTGTAAGTTACAAAACTAATAAAATTTCCACACATACACTTGTTTGTTACTGTACTTTCACTTCCAGGAGTATAACAGAACACAGTATTCCTCTACTACAAATATCTAGGAATACTGAATAAATAAAATATATAAAATGGTTTTTACATGTAAATTACTGTGCTTACAAGAATGCAAGAGAAGTGCATAATGGCTAGAACCACAGAGGAAGCAGCAAATGCACAAGCAATATTTCTATATTTAAGCTATCTTCTAGCTCTAGCTACCCAGAGCACACTGCATTTTCCCCATACACTATTCAGTTCAAATGGTCTATTCCTTAATAAAACTTTGTGCTTTTACTCCTAACAGAGAACTGAGTTTGTTTCTATGACAAATTTAAATATGTATAAGTTTATCTTATGTCAATTATAGCTCAATGAAGATATTTTTTTTTTGTAGGGGAACATGGTGGCTCTGTAGAATAAACACTGACTGTGAACCACAAGGTTGCTGATTTGAGCCAACCAGTCACTTTGTGGAATAACAATAAGCCTTTCAGATAAGCCTCAGAAACCCTATATGGAACCAGACCCAATGGTAATTAACAACAATAATGAAGTGTTTTTTTTTTTTAAAGTTGAATGACAACCACTAAAAGAAAAGCAATATAACATGTTTTCAAACCAGGGGACAGAGACAATAAGGGAAGTAAAAAGGAAAGGAGGGAGAAGGGAAGAGAAAAAGATAAAAGTTAAGTAATCCAAACTGTGACAGAAGAAAAAAAAAGAGGACCAAAAAATTAATGCAAATACAAGTACGTGTCACTTAACATCCATGATACATTCTGTGAAATAGGATGTTATATGATTTGGATGCTGTGCAGACACCTTATTAAACTCATATGGGAGCCTACTTCCAGTCATCCTTGTCGCCTATGCTACTGTTGTTGGTAGAGCTGGCTGAGGCCAGAGGAATGAGCAATGACGTCTGTGGCATCTGAGAGGGCAACTGCAGGAGCAGAGTGAGAGGAAGCAATCAGACTGGGAGTAGAGCATGCCTAGCCTTGCCCATTTTCCATCCACTGGTCTGTTTACCTGAGCAGAAGGAGCAGCCCAGACCTGCAGTTTCTAACACCTAACTGCCCTCAGGACAAAATCTGAAAGCCCATGCCCAGAGGTATATCCTCTGCTTCACTTACCTGTATCCCACCCATGGTCCACTGCTGTAAGAATCTAGGCTTGGAGTCTTTAAAGCCATTGTTTTTAAGTGCCATTGAGTTGGTTCTAACTCATAGCAACCCTGTATAGAGTTTCCAAGGAGTGGCTGGTGAGTTTGACCCACAGACCTTGCAATTCATACAGACCTTGTGTATTGGTTATCCTACAATGCTCCACCAGGAAAGCCATTGTTGTTGGGTGCCATCAAGTCAGTTCTGACCCAAAGTGACCCAGCATAAGGTTTCCAAGGAGCAGCTGGTGAGCTTGAACCACTGACCTCGCAGTTCAAAGTGACTTTGCAGTCCTGCGCATTAACCCACAGTACCACAATAAACAAAAGAAGAGCCACTTTGCCCTTGGGAGAAAACATTATGGAACAAGAGATGTATACGTGGTTGGCTGATGCCCAAAGAATATTGTTGTTGTTAAGTGCTGCTGAGTTAATTCTGACTCATAGCAACTCTGGTATAGGGTTTCCAAGGAGCAGCTACTGGGTTTGAACCACCAACTTTACACTTATCAGTCTAGTGCTTATCCTACAGCACCACACCAGGATTCCTAAATAAACATAAAGGGACACATACCTTTACATGTGTAATCACAATAGGTGTAAATAGATTGAATGTACTATTCTTTTTTAGAAAAAGAATATATTGTTATTATTAAGTGCTATTAAGTTGGTTCTGACTTATAGCAAGCCTACATAGGGTTTATCACATAGAAAAAATCCTGGTGGTGGCCTGGTTTAAATGCTTGGCTGCTAACTGGAAGGTCTGCAGTAGGAACCCACTAGCCACTTTGTGGGAGAAACATGTAGCTGTCTGCTTTCATAGGATTTATAACCTTGGAAACCCTATAGGGCATTCTACTTTGTTCTTATAGGGTTGCTATGAGTTGGCATCAATGGCAATAGATTTTGTTTTGTTTTGTTTTAAATTATCGTATGGGGTCACTATGAGTTGAAATCAACTTATGGTACTAAAAACAATATTACATTGGACAAGAAAATAACCACAATATGTTATTTATTACACATAAGATTAAATTTTAATGATACATTAAGACAAGCATAAGATAAAAAAATTAAGTGTTAGAAAAGCTACAGCATGAAGATATAATTTAAAGAAAAGTGGGTTCATCAAACAAAATAAAACAAGGCAAAAATCATTATTGGGAAACAGTATAATAATGATTAAAAAGGGGAAACTACATGGAAAATGCACAATAGCTAGTGCATTTGAATGCTGACCTTTACGGTTAACCACCGTGCTACAGGGCTCCTTAAGTCAAATAATGTTGTTATTGTTGTTAGGTGCTGTTGAGTCAGTTCAAACTCATACTGAGCCTCTGAATAATAGAACAAAACACTGCCTAGGCCAAGTCAAATAATAGAAAAACCAAATTTTGTATATTAAAAGTCGTTTAGAAAATAGGAGAAAACATTAGTTTTGTGGGACAGATGATACTGACAGTCTAGTTTTGATATGAAGATTATCCCCATTCCTTATTTATTGGCATGGGCAGGTTCCAAAGACCAGGTCATTATGTGAAAAACAGCATTACATGAAAATGGAGGATGATCACATAAAATCACAAAATGGAAGATGAGTACATCATTACATAACTGTCAAATTACATCATAACTGCTCAAACACTGTTTTACCAAGTGATATGATGTGTATGTCATGTACTTCTTCTGATATGTGATAAGAAGGGCACTTCATCTCTGTGGTATTCTTTGGAAAAACACGTTGTTGTTGGTGTTAGGTGCTGTCTAGTCTATTCTGAATCTATCGACCCCATTGTTGTTGTTAAGTGTCATTGAGTCTCACAACGACCCTATATAGGGTTTCCAAGTAGTAGCTGGTAGATTTGAACTGTCAACATTGCAGTTAGCAGTCTAGTGCTTATCCTATAGCACCACACCAGGACTCCTAGTAAACCCATACAACAAAATAAAATTGCCTCAAAGTATTCTTGGCTGCAATCTTTTTGGAAGGAAGTTCCAGGTCTTTTTCTTGTATAGGACCACTGGGTCAATTTGAACCTCCAACCTTTAAGCAGCCGAGCACTTAATATTTCCACCACCAAAAGTCCTTGAAAAACCCATAACTTAGTTTAATTATGAGAAAAACATCAGATTGAGGAACATTCTGTAGGGCACCTGACCAGTACTCCTCAAGATTGTCAAGGTCATGAAATACAAGGAAAGCCTAGACATTATTATAGATTAGAAGAGATTGGGAACTAAATACAATATGGTACCTTGGATTAGATCTCAGAACAGAATGAGTACATGATAGAAACAAACTGAATAAACAGTATGCCATCCTCCTTACCCTCAAACTCTCATAATTTTTTACATTTTGATATGAAAAATTTCAAACACAGAAAAAAATTGAAATTTTTTTACAATGAGCACTCGCATATCTATCCCCTAGATTCTGCACTAACATCTTACTGAAGGGTTGTTATGAGTCAAAAAATGAGTGATGACAATCGGTTTGGCTTTGGGTATATGTTTTAAAAACCACTTAGCCAACTATCCATCCTTCTATCTGCACAACAATATATTGTTACAGTATGCAATTCTAACTAAATTGTAGACATCTATATTCGTTCTCCCCAAAATATTTCAGCAGGCATATCATTAGAGTTCAGTATTGGTTTACAATTATTCCTTTTTGGTAAAATTTACATATGATGAAATGCACAAATGTACAATCCATTGCATTCAGACAAATGCATAGTTAGCTGTACAACCCAAGCCTCCATTAAGATACAAAACATTATTCTTATCCCCAGAAAATTTCCTCATACTCTTTCCAGCCCCCAGAGATAACTATTGGCCTAGATTAGATCTGCCTTTTACAAAAATTCATATACATGGACTCATACAAAACATATTCCTATGTGAGACTTCTTTCAACCAGCACAATGTTTTATTAGATCCACTTACGACTTGCTATATACCAGATAGTATTTTTAAAATAGTATTTAAAATTCATTTACCTACCATGAAAATGACTATCAAGATGAGACAAATTCCCACTATGATAAGGAAGGGAATTAGGTAGTATTCCAGAGGAAGACTAAATTCTGGTACCAAGACAATGTGGCCCCTGGAAGAAAACAAAAATTAATATTGAGAAATACTAAGAATTGTAGAATAATGATATAATTAAAGGTTAAAAAAAATACTAAAAAGAAAAAAGAAGAGAGAACAAACAAGATGGCAGATTGGGTAGAAGTGCAGTAAAGGAGCTCCGCCAACAACAACACAGAATACCCGACCAAGCAGGCTCAGGGGACGGTCCCAGAACTTTGAACCACATATAAAGGAATATTTAGAAGTTTGGAAGGCTCACAGCTGGGGGAATTTGTGACAGAAGCAAGAAATCTATTGCTTTCTAGTCTGGGATGCTCAGCTGCTCCAGGAGCTGCCATCTTGGGTGAGACCACATGGGGGAAAGTTCAGAGCAGCCCCAGACACCTGGCAGAACTGCTGAGATAAAGGTGTGGACATTATTTTCTTTTGGTATCTATTCATTGGTCCCTTGCTGTCTGCGCACCTCCATTCTGGTGACTATAGGGGTACCTGAGCCAGTGGGCACCCCAGCCCCACCCTTGGAGGGTGCCACTACGCATGTGCACAGATCTTCTCGAAATTTAAAGAGACAGTGTCCAATTTAAACCAAACAGCCACAGCCAGCCCTGAACTGTTTACAACTAGAAAAAAGTCCTGAATGGGGATTGTGGAGTGGGACAAGCAGACAAAAAAGGAAATAAGCCGAAAATTAAATCCTAAGTTACGTCAAAACAACCAACAGTGGTATCTTGAAACTTCTCAGGAAGAAGAGTGAAAAGGGAAGCCCATTTCCTGATCACATTCAGAAAGCATAAAAAATACCAAAATAAATACCCATCTAAGTACTAATTCCACAGATAACCCCTGAAGATGCCCGAAAAACAGAAGCAGATGACCATATCTGCACATGTCCAGAAACAAGATAAAGTGACTGAGGCAAATGAGCTGGAAGTAGACCTACACTCCATACTGGAAGATGGGCAGGCTTTGGAAATGC